TCATTACAGCAATAAATAATATCTGTATATACACATATATATTATATATATAAAGGGAAAAAAAAACCCTCAGACAACCTTCCAGAGGATTACTTCAACATTTTTGACTTCAGAGAGACTGAAACTGATTCTCTTAAGCAACCAGCTTTAGCCTAAATCAGAACTCACATCTCCACCAATCAGAAAGAAGCTTTTTCAAAAACTTATACTTTCCAATAGTTATATGGGCCTTAATCCTCTTGGAAACAGTTTTAGATCACTATTCTGGGAGTTATTAGGTTGGAAAACAGCTTCTAGGCAAATGATGCTATTCACAAACCTTTTACACCAGAAATAATGGTTGGATTATTTCTGCCTCAAAAGTAGTCTTGAGGTCTGATTTCTGATTTTCTTTGTATTTGATGTTCCTGAAAAAAGACACAGCTATTTGCTGTTAAATAATAAAATAATAACAATATAATAATAATGACAACAATAATAATAATAGCAACAGTAATAAATTTTGAATACATAAAAGTAATTTTAAGAATTATAATGGCAGTAACAAGAGCAAGTTTGGTTTTTAAGTGGAAGTGAAAAAATAATATTTTATCTCGTGACTTCCAATGCTCTTCTATGTTTCTAATGCTTTGGTGTTTCCCCGAAATACGAGTTTCAAAGGGCTTTTACAGATCTTAATTTTTTCCTCATGTTTTCTAAAGTGTTATTCCTTTTTCTTATCCACTGGCATCTCACAGCAATAGGAAAATAAAAAAAAGAATAGTATATTGAAGTCTGCTCTTTTGGCAGCAATTGACAGAAGGGTGACTACACACCCCTGAGTCTGGGAGTACGTAATTTCCAGGACCTTTGAGAGCACTTGCTGTTTCCCTCAAAACTTATGCTTTGCTTCCATCTGCCAATGCTCTGTAGAACAGGCTGACCAGGCAGCTGAGCTCACAGAACCATCATCAGGTAATCAAGATATTTGGAAATACAGAATTATCTCAAGACTATCTTTTTTTTTTTTCTAACTTGAGCACAGGAAGTAGATGGGTAATAAGTAGTTCAGTATTTCCTCCACCTCAGATAGTTTTTCTTTTTTTCTTGGAAAAAAAAATAAAAATCATGTAACTTGAATTTTCAGTAAGAATACAGATATTTTAAAACTTCATTAATGACACAAGCCAGCCTTTTCCTCATATTACATTTTTCTCAATGCTTGCACATACAACAACAAAAGAAAGACAACCAGTCATGGAGATATATCAAGTTGATTTTGCAATCCTGCTACTAGTTCCTACTGTTATGCAGGTCTAGATCTCTGACACATGCATCTAATGGAAACTATGGAGTTGGTGCAAGCCCAAAGCAGCCCCAGGAATTGGGAGCCTGCAGCATTCTGAGCACTTCCACAAGCCCCTCCACATCTCCTCTCTGTTTGTTAGCATTAGTGGGGTATAAACAGACACGTTAAGAGTCCAGCCCAAAAGCTCTAAGTCCTAAAGGCTCTCATGAAAAGTTTGCCACTCTTCCATTTCATAGTGAAAGTGTAAAACACACACAAAAAAAAACAAAGCCCAAACCCAACCTAACACATAACCAAAACCTCACCAAGCCCATAAAAATTAATCTGTGCTACACTATGAAGTTTGTTTCCTTAAAGCAGATCAAATACTGACATTTCAATGGCAACTTTTCCCCAAGTAACGACTTCAGGATTTACCCCATCACTTTTACTTATAGATGTATATTCATGTCAAGTACCCACAATCTTCTTTTTCTCAAAGAAAATAATTTAATTAAAAACTTCAAAACCTGCTTTCTGTAAACTAGTTATTAGTAAATTTTCATCCATTAGTTCTTACCCTGAAGATGGCAATTCTATTCTCTGAGGAACAAGGGGATCATAGTGGGAGAGCATCACAAAAACTGAGGCACAAAAAGAGCAGCATCATCTCTGACTAAATGTTTCACTGAGGAAGTGATATCACAGAATACGGTGGGCCAATGCATTCTGTGATATCACTTTCTAAAGTATATTAAAAACTTATTAATTTGCCTAGATGACAACTTCATCATCATTGCTCAGGAAAAATCCAAAAACCTACAGGAAAGGCCTTCTGAGGTTATCAAAAGCCAAAGAGACATAACATAATTAAAAAGAAGAAAAGAAAAAGAATTGTTTCATTTGTTGTTCTTAGTTATATTAGGAATAAAACACAGAACTAATGTAATAATGTATCCCAGCAGTTCAAATCTTCTAATTTATGTAGAATGGATTATTACTTAGACAATCTGACCCTGGGCAAAACTTCCTCAGTTGAGAAGATTTACAATCTAATTATGCAGGAAGTTCTGCTGAGACAGTTTGGGTGCAATAGGCTTCTATTACATTAGCTTAGCTAAAATTGCTGCTTCTTCGCTTGCTTGGTGTTCCAAGTACTCATATGAAAACAGAAAATCTTTCATTCATATCCTTTATTTCCCTTTAGTTTTTATCACCATTACTGTATGCAGAAGCACTCGTTCTCAACCACAAATGGCAGCAAGAGGCTGAGGCTGTTAATGGTAAACTACAAGCTGCCTCTCAGGCTTTTGCTTTGGATTCTGTTTAGTGAACTGACTTTAAAAAAGGACCATCAAAGTGCTTTTCATAATTTTTACAATGATAGTTGCTGGGTTATTACTCCCCTCCCCTATTGCAAATGACCCTGTAGAAAGCCTGAAGCTGAAATCTGTTTCTGTACTCTTTCTTTTTCATCCTGCATACACGAAACTAGTTTATTTTTGTAAGGTGGCTCAAAGATGCTTTGCTGCTGCCTCAGACACCTGAATATTTTTAGCAATTTATTTCATTAGATCAAAAAAAGATCCCTCAACATATACAAAAATAGTGAGAGTTGTAGAGAAAAAGATGGGAAACTTAGGACTAACATAATCCAAAGTCTCATTTTTTTTTCTCCTAGATATATTACTGTGTATTGACATAGTTGAATATACAGATTTTCCTATATTAACATAGATGGAGAAATTGGTGCCTTTTATTCTTTACAGTAAGTGTTTTGATTTCAAAAGGCCAAAGGATCATGTCACGGCCTTAAGTCTCGATAATTACCATGTGTAGTAATGCACATTTTTATCTACAGGTGGCAGACCTTTTAAAATCATCTTCAATCAAATTCATTAGACATTTTTGTTGATACCACCACCCACATTAAAAAGTAAGAAACTGAAGCATAAAGTTCTAATTAATGCTGTTCAATTTTGAAGACAGATTTGTCAACGAAGTGTCTGAATTCTCAAAGGCTAGTGACCCCTCTCAGAATGAAAGCCTTAAAAAATAATAATAATGTTAATAAAAAGAAATCAGTTGCCCAGTACATGGTAAGCTTTTATTATTTAAAAATCATTCATTGACTCAGTAAAGGATTTCTTTTTTTCCTCTAAAGTAGTTTTGCTTCCTTGATCATTAAGCACTGGCTAGTGAATTAGTGATTTCCACTTTGATAAGCTTACTTAGAAGAGGGAAAAAATGCAAGAATTTCAACACTGACTTCTGGAAGTTAGTTAGAAAAGTAAATTATAAAATTTGTTTGTATCTGAATCAACCATCTTAAAATACCATGACTTAGACTGTCATCTCTTTTGCGTACCTAAGGCTTCACTATGCAGCAGAAAAGCACTGATTTACACCAAAGTATTATCAGTCAATCATGTAATCCTGCATTCAAACTCAACTGGAAATTTTGTCCCAGTAGGACAGTGGACTAGCCTTCTGCAGTGGAATAGCCTTCTGCATGTGGACAAAATCATGCCTAAATAGAGAAGGCTGTCCCAGGGTTTCATCTAAGCCCAGAAAGCCAACTGTATCCTGGGCTACATCAATAGGAGTGTGACCAGCAGGTCGAAGGAGGTGATCCTGCCCCTCTACTCTGCTCTTGTGAGACCTCACTTGGAGTATTGTGTGCAGTTTTGGTGTCCTCAACATAAAAAGCACATGGAACTGTTGGAACAAGTCCAGAGGAGGGCCACGAGGATGATCAGGGAACTGGAGCACCTCCTGCATGAAGACAGGCTGAGGAAGTTGGGGCTGTTCAGCCTGGAGAAGAGAAGGCTGTGTAGATACCTCATAGCAGCCTTCCAGTATCTGAAGGGGGCCTACAAGGATGATGCAGAGGAACTCTTCATTAGGGACTGTAGTGAAAGGACAAGGGGTAATGGGCTAAAACTTAAACAGGGGAAGTTTAGATTGGATATAAGGAAGAAGTTCTTTCCTGTAAGGGTGGTGAGGCACTGAAATGGGTTGCCCAGGGAAGTTGTGAATGCTCCATCCCTGGCGGTGTTCAAGGCCAGGTTGGACAGAGCCTTGGGTGACATGGTTTAGTGTGAGGTGTCCCTGCCCATGGCAGGGGGTTGGAACTATATGATCTTAAGGTCCCTTCCAACCCTAACTATTCTATGACTCTATGATCTAAGAGCTGCTCCAAAATCCTCAGTAACACTGGCTCTGGCTCTCTACTGGCTTCCACACCTTTTCCTCATTTCCACCCATGAAAATTGGACATAAATGTTACCTATCACTGTGGCTGCACTTCTAATCCTGATGTGGCAGCAACTGCCACTTCTCTTGGACAAATTTTTTATCTTGTCAGTAAATTTTAAAGAAAAAAAAACCACCCTCAAAAATCTTTTGATTTTACTGTTGTTTTTTTTTCTTATAAATTGAAATATAACTGTGAAGCAGCTTCAATGAGTTAACAGAGAGAAACTTAAAACATTTACACTGGAAATACACACACTGGAGAATATTCTTATTTACTATCCTATATACCCAATCCTCCCCCTCCTACCTAGTCTTAAAGAGTGGGTGAGAAAAATTGTGTACACTAATGTCTTTTGTGGTAACCTAGTAACCTTCTCCTTTTTCTCCACAAGCTCTTCCTTCAAGCCACACTCTTCCATGTTGCTAGCCCTCCAGAGTAATTGCTGTATGTCTTTATATGGTTTTATTTTCCTACCCAATGAAGGAAAGTTGGGGTTATTTTCAATCTTCGGAAGCTTGTAAACAGGATCAAACAGGAGCCCGGTCATCAGCAAGAGGAAGGCTAGAAAAATAAAAGCAAATGCATATCAACAATTTGATTTTATAAAGAAAATACACGCAAAACATGAAACAAAAGCCTGGGCTCTGCTAGACATCCCCCTCCCCATTCCTTTTTGTTTAGTTCATGAACTCCTTTTTGCAGAACAGAGGCTGGTGTAAATTAATGTGTGACCCAAAATATGTCACATGGAAAAGCTGCCATAGAAATATGTAATAGCAGAAAAAAAAAGGGATAAAATAGACATTATTAGAACTAAAGTGGCACCTCTTAATAAATCAATACAAAGATTCAACTAGGAGAAAGATGCGACTATATATTCCTGTTTCTTTTGAGTGTTTAAACAGCTAACCTACAATCACCAATTCTATTTTTATAGAACCAGCCTAACTTGCATGTTTAGCCTGTTTAGCACAGTTAATGGTGCGAGCATAGTACCATGAGCAAGAAGTCCTCTGCATCTGCCTCTATTCTCAGCAGTCACCCTGTGAATAGGAGGGTTACTCACACATTTACTCTGTGACTTCAACCCCTGCCTTGAGATTCTCTGAGCTGCACCTCCTGCACAGGTGATAGTGGCAGGTATGACAAAGCACAGAACTTCAATGACTAACATTAGACAGCATGACTTCTCAAACTTCACCTTGTCCTCCACAGTTCAGAAGTGCGATGCACACCACACCACCCTGGACACCCCTCAGTCGTGGCTGCTGCTGTTTTACCCCCAAGCCTTCAGCAGAGAGGGGGAAAGTGTTCTGTGGCACACGGTATACACGCAAGGGATGCACAAGGTAGGAGCTGGGACCCCTTTGCAGAGGCCCCTGACACTATTGCATGGAAGAGAGCAACTGGGCAGCTGGACCCAGGTGGCCCTGCCACAGGCTTTGTGCCTCTATTTATCTGGTTGCAAAACTGGGAAAATAAGTGTTATGTGACTCAAGTACATATAAAGGCAGTGATTCGAGACCAAAAAATCTCTAGTACTAATGTTATTTAGCTGAATCACATGAACACTGTTGCATAAACATATCTGAGACTATACTTGTGACATGACATGCCGAGTTCTCACAAGCCAAAGTCAGCACCATCTCAGGTGTGAAATAACTGCTGTCCTTCCAGTCAGGTTTTCCACCGCTAACCTGTGTTACAACCTATTAATATCAATCTAGTCTAACCAAAACAAATAATTTGCAGTATGAAACACATATTAATAAAAATCAGTAAGAATTTATTTTAAAACTACAAAACATACAGTCAACCAAATTATGAAATCAGTAACATCAATATATAAACCCAGGCACTTTCTCTACTGGTTTAGCTTGATAGAATTTGCCAGCCCTACAGTTCTGAGAGCATTCTGTGAAAAGCAGCAGCATGTAAGACTACAACCAAGTGCAGACTGGTGCATGAGGTTTCAGAAGACAGCCATCCCTGTTCATACTGAGCTCTGCATGCAGGCAAACTATGTGAAGATAAACCTCAATTTCCTATATTATTTTTGAGCAATAGATGGGCAAACAGAAATGTGTTTTGAAGTTTTGTATAGAAATTTCCTCAAACATGAATTGAGAGATGAACATTTCTATAGGCTTTTCCAAATAAATCCATGTTGAAGAAGGGGAAAAAAGTCTTCAGTGAAGATAAGTCATCAAAATTTCCTTTTACAAAAAAAGTCAAGATCTTCAGGTTCTATCAGACTACCTGATTACCAGCATCTCAAAGAACCAGAAAATATTAATTGCTTAACTCTTGTTACTTGGTTATCTTATTAAACATTCATCAACTAACTAGCATAATGTAAAATTTGTCCTTCATCTTCCTTCCCTAACCAACACATCATTAATATAACAGACACACCCCAGGAGCCGAGGAAGGAACCAGACCCACTCAATTCACATCCATAAACCTAGACATTTTTAGATTCTAGATTGCTGAAGAAGCCTTGCTCTCTATCTCCTTGTACTTCCTCAGCTATGGTCTTGAGCAGTGTGACAGAACCAGCAGAAAAAAAAAAAAAAGGACTTGTTGCTATGTGAAGAAACCTAGATCCTGCTTGCAATTAAATTCACTTTCATCTTAACTGTTTTCCACAAGATGCACCTAAGAAAAGTTATACTTTTAGCTCTTTCTTTTATTTTCTATTTCCAAAACATGTCCTACAATGTTTTCGTTTCTACAGAAACAGGGTTTGCGGACCTTGGGAAGACTACGCGGGCAGCATTCCAGAAACAGCAAAGACCTCTGTGTACAGGAGTTAAATGAATGGAAAAGCACAAAACAGGAGACTGAAGAAACCCTTTCCAAAAACTATCCCAGTATGAGAGAAAGTTTTAGGTATGAAGAAGTCTGAAAGTGTAGCACATTCTTATGAAGACTTTTACAACACTGTTATAGAGAGCAATACATCATATTCTGTATAATATAATGTGCTAAGTTTTAAGTATTGTATTATATTTTACTATAATGATATTTTTTTAGCTTTCCCTGTATTTTAATAGTGGCAAAAGCAGATCAACAACCTCCAAGACAGAAGTGATATATAACAACCTGTGACAATAACCTGTGACAATAACCCCACCTCAAAGAGGCTTCCACTGATGCAGTCTGCAAGTTCCTTTGTCCTATTCAACCCTTTGTCTCTTTGTTGAGGCCATCAGGAAGAAGTTGGAGAAAAATGTTGTAGTGGCTTTCCTGTGAAGATGTTAGCTTGTGATAGGTTTTTTAGAAAGCAAAGAGAGCAAAGCCACAAAATTACTCTGATCAGCCCTTCCACAGCAGGACTTTCTGAAGGCACAAGGGAAAAGGGCGGGCAGATGCCAGCCTCCATCTTCTGAATGCGGGCAGTCCCATAGTGGTGGTGGGTGGAATTTCATCTCAACTAACTAGGCTGGGTATGCACATAAGGCAATCTCATAACCTAACACAACCTTTGCAAAGTAAAATAAGGCTATTGCAAACATCTGCAGGATCTTTCTCAGGGATGAAAAAATAAAAAATAATAATAATTAAAAAAAATAATCAAATGCCCTGCTCTCCACCCAGTGTGCATAGAAACTGCAACCATTTACGGTCACTGTGACTCATGTCTCTCCACATTTCATCTCTGGTTAAAGCTGCTTCCAGTTATACACAGTGTGGTGCACTATGGTGAACAGGATGAGAGTAACACAGGAACATGATGTTTTCTGCATTTACTTTCATTTTCACAAGAACTTTCTGAGGTTTACAGTTGCTAGTTTTTAACTCTTCAAGTCTTAAGTGTGCCCATTAAGGTTGAGGTGAATCTGTGGAGCAACTAAAAGAAACTGTGTTGCTACATCTTCTGCAGATGAGGTCTTCAGCGTCTTGGGGTATAATCTAGCAAATTTTTAACCACTTTGAAAAAAAAAATAAAATGGTACATGTATAAGAAAAAAGCATAACTGTTTTTGAAAACCTGCTGTCTTCAGAGAAGACATTACCTGCTACTTTCAAACTATGAGCTCTCATTTCACAAGCCAAAATCTGATGCATGTATGGGCCCTTCAGAATATAGCTTTTGACTGCATGAACTAGGAAGAATCACTAGCTGGCTCTGGTTGTCTTTCCCCATTCAAAACTAGTCTGAACAGAGTGGGTTTGAGGTTTTGTTGCTGGTTTTTGTTTTTAAAGTCTCTTTTCTGCTAAAAAAATACCAGCCAGCTTGTGCACAATTACCTCCTCAACATCTACCTGTTCACATGGCTGAGCAATAGAAAAGTCCAGAGGAGTGACGGGTTTTGTTTTTTTCTTATTTCTCTCTTTATCCTTTTTTTCCTTTTTTTTTTTTTTAATCTATTTGCCAACCAGAGTCATTTATCCCCTATTAGATAAAGTATAATAGACTATACCGAAAGGGTCACTGGCCTTCCATTTAATGATATTGCCGGCACCAATCTACATTTTCCCGACAGTGTCCCTCAACACAGAATAAATGGCTGATCTCTTCACAATAACAGCTGATTTCTCTTTATTAAGCTAAAAAGGTCACCATTTTCTACGGCTGGGCCGCCCTGCACTATTGATAATTTTATGCATAAACAAATGGCAAATTTGTGCCACATAAATATGCATTAGCAATTACTTTTTCCTCGGGCAACGCTCGCCGCATGCAAATGTGTCCCTCACAGGGCCTGGTGGCTTTTGTTTTAGCTCTTGAACAGCTAAACAAAAGAGCACAATAAACAGTTTAAAAATTGTTAATCAATCGGAAATGCAAATGCAAAGGTAAATGGCAAGAAACTTGCCCAAACAAATAAAACTAAACCAAAAAAGCAAAACAAAAATCATACATGGAAATATATAAATTGAAAGGACTATCTGTTTCCTCCCCCCACTTGCATCTTCAACTTTGGGTTTTATTTCTTTTCAGTAAAGAGAGATAGCTAAGGTGCTCTTCTTTCAGCTGCAGTGGAGCTGGTGCTAGCATGGTCCCTATATGGGAGCACCCAGAATGTACACATGGTCAACCCATGTGCACACATTAAGCAGGACCCACACCTACATCCAAAGAAAGGAGCCAAAAGAAGGATGACTGAGGAAACTCACAGTGGTTTAGCTTTCTGTGATCACACATTTCCATCGAAGAATTTTAAAGAAAAGTTACATGTGAAAGAATCACTGAAAAAAGCTTAAGCATCTTCTGTAAGCATTGACTTAGGATTTCATTACTGGAAGTGCCCAGAAAATACCAACTTATTTGTGCCTACATGGAGATGTCTGTAGCAACAGCCTAATGAATGTTGTCACTTGAGAAAGTTGAACTACATATAATTTCCTTCACCCGGAGGTCAGAAAGCTTGATTTTCCCTTGTCTTACCCTTGGACTACTCATTTCCGACAGCAAGCCATAGTTGCATATAAGGTGCAGGATAAGGGAAAAATCAGGCCCAGATACTAAACTGGTATGAACACGGAAACCAAAACTGACAATTTTAGGAGAACTGATGATTGCTTTGAATTTTCACCTTCAACAGAGAAGCTTC